CTGCCTCAAGTTCCGCCTTCTCTATTCCTGATTGGCTGTTTTCTAGTCTGTATGGGTTATTAAGTTTTACTTTTCTCCATGTGTTCTACTTTTAGTTGTTTAATTCTTATTTTGTTGTGTTTTCTGGTTATTTTCAGTTTTAAGGTTTTTATTTGTTACCCTCTGCTGCCCTCTTGTGTTCTCCTTTTCCCTAAGCTCCTTTCCTGTCTGCTCTGTTCACACCTGCTCCCTATCTGCTTGTTAGCCCTCTCTTTGTTCTGTCTCCCATAAATACACCCTTTGTGCTGTTCCTCAGTGCTGGTTCCTCTTCTAACCCCCAGATTCCACATACTCCGTCAACACTCCACCCTGCTGACGTACGTCGTGCAGAGCGCTTGTCTTTCATGTAAATCAATGAGAGCTGTTCCACATCCACCGCTACTCCTCCGCACGTCTCTGTCCACGTACGTCTTCTCCATCCTTCACCGACAAAATACGGAGCCAAGCTATTTTTTGCTCCGCTCCGGTCCAGCCAGTTCAAGATCCGCAATTGCAATAGCACAAACAGGAAAAAGAACATTGAGAAATTCCGGTTTGTCAATTTAAAACATAGTAGCAACAGTAACTAGAAATTCTAGCATAATTCTTATATATTCCAAAAAAGCTAACACCGTTTATTTAAATGATTGGATGCAAACTATTGCTTATTCACCAACGAGGAAGCAGATTTCTCATCTCGATCAAAATATTTATTTTATACCGAGGGACTTAAAGTTTTATCAAATCCATTGAATGAGTGACTCTAATTTCAATGCATAAAACTCATCTACTTCAATATTCAAACTTAATAGCCATTACTAAATCAAACTACTATTCTGACCTTATCTGCTCCAATAACAGAAACTCCAAGTCTCTCTTTTCTATAATGCACAAGATATTTGACCCCCCTGATACCCTGCCTTCTTACGTGTATTCTAGTCAGACCTATAATTCTTTGTTAACCTTCTTTAATGAAATAATCAGCTCCATTCACCAGCAATTAGATATGACCGCCTTGCCTCCCACTTCCCCTCCGCCCCTCCCCCGTAGCC